GGACAACGTATCTGTGATCGTAGATCGGTGCGGAGAGGCGATCGACATCGCCCACGTGAAACGAAGGAATCCTTACGCGTTGCAATTCTCTATTCCTGAGAGATGTCTCGAGGTATCGATGTTGGTCGGTGTCCGGATATCGAAGAATGGTTGTCCGTTAGGCGTCAGACAGGTGAAATGCGAGAGCAGATTGAGGGAACTCGATCAGATACTCAGGGCTAACGACAATCCCTTGGAATTCATGTGTCAGGTAGAAATTTGATGAAATTCGTTATTAAACAAGGTTCTTTAGAAGGTTTTTGTGGTAAGAGGTTTGATTTGGAACTTGGACTTTACTTGTAGACCTTTGGCTTCAATCCGGGTGATCGAGAACAGTTGGACAATTGGATGGTCCACGCTTTTCAACGAAACGTTCCGCCGCACTTCAACCTTCTGTCCACTCCCAGTGGCGTGGTTTCCACTCAGAAAGTCCACTCGAGTGAGTATCGCGGAATTTGGGAGAATGTGCGTGTGGTTTCTTGATCTATTGTACGTTGATTCTTTGGTATTGTCTGTTGTGCTTGCTGTGATCGTAGGAAGACTAGTTGGTAAGGACTTGAGATCGATCTTGTGATATAAGTGTCCCTTTAAATGTAACGATCTAAATAAATACTTGTAGCGTAAGGAGAAAGAGTTTAATTTGAATATTTAAATTTTGGAATTTCAATGTTCAAATTGGAATTTGATTGGCTGAATTTCAACATTTAAATTTTAATATTAGAATCTCAAGATTTGAATTTAAACATTTGCATCAAAAAGTCCCCAAATTGGGACTTGAACTCAAAAATCCTACATTTCCCCTCTTCTGTACCCAAAATCAAACGAGCCAAAGTGATTTTTCAACCAATTAAAGCACAAACCACCCGTTACTCTACCTTCAACAGATAATTTACCCCAAACAAAAGTAACCAAACGACAATTATTCCAGGTCCCGAGGAGAATCCTACGTTGCTTCACTTCGCCGCCCGTTTCGGCCTGGAGAGACTAGCCTGGCAGCTTCTGGAGTGTCCAGGCGGTGACATAGCCTGCGACCTGAGAAACGTGTCGGAGTTAACTCCTGCTGATCTCGCGGAGCAAGCAGGACACGCGCGACTTGCACACCAACTTCGTGGCTACATGGTACAAAAACATCGTCTTTAAAGCGACGTGATAGTTAGTCGAATGGAACCGATACTTCCGCGATACTTCTCTATTCTTAATTACAAATTGAGCTTGAACGATCCAGACAAAATCTCCTCTTTGCTCTTTAAAATCTCATCCATAGGCTTGCATTAAAGAGTTAAAGCAAACGTGATCGGTTAAGACGAGTCTGTTTGTCTCTAACTCTTATTGTTGGTTCAATTTAAATATTATTAAGAAAAAAAAAATAGACAAAATGTACAATGGATCTCTTTAATTGATTTATCTCACGAACGTTTGTTTCTGTTGAGTAATTTCGGTGAATTAATTGGTAACTTGCTTTTGAATTGCATGTTTCGGGCTTGCCCTTGAATCCTCGTCCACGGCGCCGCAGCAAATGAACGAGTTCACTAACATGTATAGCTACCTGAAGGTGATCAGCGAGACCACCACAGACCAAGCGAACAGTGAGTATCTCCCATCGGTTGAAAATTCGTTGTAAGGGTCAAGGAAGTGAAGAAAATAAAATTTGAAATGAAAATCTGAATTCTTGAAGTGCTGAGCAATTACGAAAGTGATAACAGAGTGATATCTAGAGATAACGAGTTCGAACTGGTGTGATTTTTAGGTGCGGACCCATCAACGACTAACACGACGAGCGACACAAACAACGACAAGGAGGATTATTGTCGTCCACGACCTTTGAGCGAAGCTTATTCGGTGCCACCGGCCGCAAGACCAATAACGTCTCTAATCTTGCCAGGCCAATTACCAGTAACCCCTAGCGCGACAACCGGTAACCCCATTGAAGCAAATTACTCGATCGTACCGGCACCAACTCCCGTCGTCGTAAGTCCATCAACGCCGACACCGTCGTCGACGACCACCTCGAACGGCCTTGAGCTCCCTCTTCAAGGCTACATGAAGATGCATCCAGCTGGTACGTTCAGCTCTGAGCCTAGAGATTCTGTGGAGTATGAAAGAAGGAATATTGATGAACTTTAGAATTGGAATTCTTAGATTTGAATATTTCAATTTGGGATCTCCCAATTTTCAAGTACCCTCAAAGAATTAAATTTGAAATTTAAACTTGAGATCTCCCAATTTTCAAGCACCCTCAAAGAAGTAAATTTTTCAATGGAGTATGAAACAAGGAATATTGGTAAACTTTAAAATTGGAATTCTTAGATTGGTATATTCCAATTTGAGATCTCCCAATTTTCTATACTCTCAAAGAATTAAATTTTTCAATGGAGTATGAAAGAAGAAATATTGATAAATTTTTTAATTTCAATCCTTACATTTGAATATTTCAATTTGAGATCTCTCAATTTTCAAGTACCCTCGAAGAATTAAATTTGTAATTTAATCTTGAGATCTCCCAATTTCCAAGTACCCTCACAGAATGAAATTTTCCAATGCAAAATCCCGAAGTCAATTTAAATGTGAAAAGCACGAGTCATCCTTATCTAATTCGAGGAATTCAATCTCTAACTCCTTTGATCTCTAATCTTCAAGGGCCCAAAACACCCACGTCGAACGTAGCGAGCCAGCAACCATCCCGGACAGGCACACCCACTCAGAATCGTCTAGACTCTCACCACATACCCTCCAGGGATGAGAACAGTCAATCTTCGTGCTCTTACGGCAGAACTACCTCGAATTCGAGCAGCGTGAAGTCCAGAGAACCGTCAGGACCTCAAGACGAGCTGCTGGAGATTATAAACGACTTCAAGAACAACGTGTTCACGATAACGGAGGTAGAGAGGCTTGTGGAGAACTGGAGGAACCGCAACGACGTTCAACAGAGCTTCAAGGATAAACAAAGACAGCTGACTGCTATGAGAGAAGAATACGAGAGGATACAGAAGAGGCTGAAGGAGGAGATGAAGGCACCCACTCCTTTCGACAGGATTAGAAAATTCTTCTCCAAAGGAAAGAAAGGTATGTAAAGAAAAATTTATAAAATTCTGAGAATTTAATGCGAATTTAATACGAATTGGTGTTTTCGTAGACTCGAAGGACTCTGGTAATGGAACAGACGACTCTTCGTCGACCGTCAAAGTGGAAAATGTTAACGGTGGACTGACTGATCGTAGACCGGTTAGCAGTCTGAGCCTTCGTAGTGTTTCAAGTGAGTATTCTATATTTACACGTAAATCTGATCTTCCAAGAAGTATGGTAGATATTTATAAAGTATATTTGTTCTTTTTTAGGCTCGTCTTCGTCTGGTAGAATGAGCACAGCCAGCGGATGCAGTGGAACCAGTTTAGGCGACAGTGGAACTCACTCTGACACCGAGGATCGACGAGTTAGTGCCTTAAAAAAATTGTCGTTACTTCACCAATAAAAGAAACAGAATAACTCTCGAATTTTACAGCGCATATTTTATTTGAATACAAAAAAAAAAGAGTTTTCTAAATGACAAAAAAAATTTCAGCTTCAAAATGCAAGAGAGGACAAGCCAGGCGTGATGTCATACGAAATACCGCCAGCTCCGAAGCCATTCACTGGAAGATACTCGCCAGCGCTTAGGTATTCCCCCTCTCCTCGTTCCTCGACCGGAAACGACCTAGACCTGAGACCAACGCAGCCGCCATCGAGGGTCGAGGACACTGAATATTACATAGCGTTTCCACCCTCGGGATTGCCCATCCACTGTACGTGGTCACATCTATTTTTAAATACAGGCTGACCCATAAGTCGCTTTACCATATCAAAATTTCAACAACTTTTCCTCCATTACATGTTTCAAAATTTTTGTTTCAGATTTTGAAAATTTCTTCTTTGTTTTTTCAAATGGTAAACAGTCTTACGAGTCACCCTGTGTTACACTATATTATTTTTAATACTTTTTATCAATGATTAAAATATTTCCACCGACTGTATCTACAATTTAACCATTTTTAACGATTATTTAAACAGCTTTCAAGACAGACGCTCCCTCGCTGAAGGAGCCAAAGACACCCAGCTCTCCCTGCGACCATCCCAAGTACCTGGACATGATCCAAAACACCTGTGCAGCAGCCACAGACGCCGCAGAATCGGATCCTTCCAGGCAACCTGGGAATAGTTACGCAAACATCGACCCGTCCACGTTGAACTCGGCGCCAGTTCCACCGGCTGGCATGTGCATTCCCACGAATTACGTGAACGTGACACCTGTGTGCGTCACTTCGTCGCAGGAAACTGTTCAAGGTCACCAGACCGAGCAGAGCCACACGCCTGACTCGAGTCACACTTCTGAATCCTCGAAGAACTCGTCCAAGATCGAGGCTTCCAATCGAACAACGGAGAACAAGGTCAATGATAGTGTGCAAGCTCAGGGTCACGAGATTCAGAGTAGAAGTAACGAAGAGTACGTGGAAACAGACCTGGTGAACGGGTCAGAGGGCGTAGATGTGCCTGATACCTGTAAAATGCCGGACTATATGAACGTTGACGTTCCTCAGGATCTCAAAATTGGCGCCAAAAAGGCGCCTGCTCCACCTGTTCCACCAAGAGGTAGATTGATATTTTTAATTTAATTTTAGATGGTCTGTCAGATGTGTATTATCTTTCTCATATTCTTATCTGTCTGTATGGTTTCATCGAGATCAGTTTATGCCACTTCCTTTGGTGATCTCTATAGAAATACAGGGTGTCTCACATCCTGTGTTCTAATCTGATATAAGCAATGTTATAAGAAGTTATTTTAGATTGTGAATAAATGGTTAAAAATAACCGTATGATTTCCTGTTCACCGCTTAGTTCCTCCTCTGAAGGAATATCTTATTCATTCAGAGATTATCATGAACCGTGTCAAATGTATCAAATATAATGACTCAAGATTCGTTGGAACACTCTTGGTGTACTTAGAAAAAGTTCAGAAACACGTCCTTAAGCGGTAGAAATTACATCCAATGATTCAAAGGTCCGTTGAAGTCTGCTCGTGTGGATTCTTCATCTGTTAATCACACGGTGTTTCATTTCACCAAAGGAAATCACGAAGGTTGATTACTTAATCGGACTTTCATCGTCATTGATCGCTGTGAAATTGATCGCCTTAAACAGCTTTTCGTTTCTCCGTTGGCAATCGATTCTTACACTATTTTTTTTTTTTTGTCAATTTTCTGTTGCAGCTGCGACGAAGAAATAGAAGAAGAATGATTACCACGAACGGAAGTGCCTGCCAATTTTTTCCCTTGCAACGGCTCAACGGTTCAAAGATGGTGCCTTCGACGATCGTTTTTTTTTTTTAATCCGAGAAACATTCGAGCGTGATTTCAAGCACTCGACGACGGTGTTCTTCGTAATATTTAGTATTAGTAGCGTATTTAAATGTAAATTGTTCGGTTTAAGAGGATCCTTACGGAGAAAAGTCTGTAAGATGTATTCGAAACACAGCTCGTGCCTTTTATGTACATCTTGTTCTCTCTCTTATGTTTTTCTTTCTAATTTGAATACTCGAGGAGAAGGAAGCGTGACTTAATCTGTAGAAGATTCTTTTCGTTAGGTGCGTTTTATTGTTCATTATTACTTTAAAGAATGCCTCGAATGCGTTGACATGTTGATTAAGCTCGTTATCTTTATTGTTTAGTGAAATTATTCTTCTTCTTTAGTAAGAAAGCAAAAAACTCCTTTAGATGTTAATTAGGTTAATGTGTAATTCAAGGAAATTTGAATGTCTCGATTTCCCGTAATTTGTTAAATTTCCGAGGTCTTCGAGGATTTTGAAAATCATTCGAATTGATTATTATTTAGAGAATCATTCGATCGATAAGCATTCGAGGCTCTCTAATTACACCGTTAAGTTGTATATTAATTAATTAACCGATGCTTGGATCTTGATCCAAGAACGAATACAATGCTAGCGAGCGCCAAATCAAAGTTTCATCGTTTGGCGGGAAGCCAAAACCATAATCTGTACATACTATCCTTTGTTCTACACTCTATTATAATTATTCTAATCCACTGTCAGCACCGTCGTTTCCTTAAAATTAAGTTAGATCAATTTATCACGACAATGACAATTGTCAGGAAGAATTTCTCCAAAATACGACGCCTAAAAGACTGTGTAACGAAACATGGCGTCACGTGATCGTATTGTCACCAAATCATGCAACTCATATTATGTATACTGTAATCATTCTCTAGCAGTTACTCTGTACATGTGTTGAATTTCTTCCTCTTTCTCTTTCCTTTTCTTTTTTTCATTATAAAAGCAACGACGAAATGTGTTTCAAGTACCAAGGATGCATTTATCGTTTTAATTGTAATATTGTAACATGTTAACCTAGCCACTTCGCGAGATAATTTTTTCTACCAGATCCACTGGGTCCTTTTTATATTTATGTTTACATCAATAAAGCTGAAGATAACAGAAGCTGTGAAATTATTCAAATCAGATCGCCATATTATACTGCATAATGAGTCACAAATGAGTAACGTAGTATTTCTCACGCACAATAGCGAAATATCGGATATCATGAAATACCAAATGTGATTTACACGATATCTGAGACTCGTAATTTTTGCTAGACGAATCTATTGTGAAAAAAAAAAATCGTCTTTGTTCCCGGAGAAACCGGTTGTCCTCGGAAGCTGCAAGCTGAAAGAGTTATGCAAAGAGCCGCGTCCGTTAATGTAAATTTTACTAATGATCGATGGAAAAGGCGGGAAAATAAACATTCTTGCTTCGACATATTTGAATTAGTAATGGTTTCAACGTGTATTTCCAAAAAATATATTAATGTAGCGAACACGACAAATAGAACTTTTTTTTTCATAGACGAAGATGATTTCTCGAAAGACGTAACAGTGTTGAAGCATTTTTAACAGAACAAAGGAGACATAATTGACCACCAAGTGATGTCACGTTCGTTTGCAGACGAGCAAGTACATTTTTGAATAATACATGCGATTGAGTATTCATCGGTAGTATCGAACGACCTGTCGTGACATTCGGATCATAGGCAGGAAAAACCAGTCATTCTGAAATCGTCGAAAGCTTCTAATTTCTGACGAATCAAACGTCGTATTCTTTCACTCGTGAAGGACGACTACTTTTAAGCAGTAAGGTATATCCCTTCTCCAACCATAAAAGAACCTATACCTTACGTACACAATGAGCGTTGAATACTGAAGTAACATTTGACATGAATTCATTCGAATCTCCTTAAAAAATATTACAAAGTTCTTAGAAATATTTTAGTACAGATCCTTCGAATTTAAACGCTCTACGTTGCACTGTTCTAAGCCTAAAAGACTAACAGAGATCTCATCAACAATTGTATATAATTAAGAAACTGTAAACTACGCGTCCCAACTAAACAATCAGGAAATCGTTCAGACTGTAGACGCCCATTCGGTCACGAAAAAACCACTATCTCCTTTCCGCTTGATTTAGATTTCTCGTTAATTGAACTCGCCCCGTTAATTACCATTGCGGTTCGACATCCGAAGACCAACGATCTCCGATCTCCGTTACGCAGCCACCACGTGCTCCATACACCTATCATCAAGTGGGGATCGATCCTATATAGGAGTGAAATTGCACTCCCCTCGACAAAACGGAAAAGTCCGCGACCACCTTCCTTTTCATCTATCGTCGGTTCTCCAAAAGTAAGACGACATTTCCTCAGTGAAGTTCTATCATAATTCTGAAAACAGTAACAGAAAATACTTAATGCACTTGTGATATTTTAAGTAAAATTTATAAAATACAGTGTGATAAAAAATAATGAAATAATGGTGAAAAAAGAAATGAATGTGATTGTGTTAATCATTGATTGTAGAAATTCTGGACAATAGTGTAATTATAAAAACTACTTTCAACAGGTGACTGTCATCAGAAGTATTGAAAGATGAAGCTACTTCCAGTGACTTTTACATTGACATTAGTCTTGGCTACCAGTCATGCTCAATCCAGGTTTATTTTCACTTTGTTGAATTAATTAATAGTTTTTAGTGGATCATTTTAGGTAATTGCAAAGATGTTCTCAGGTATGAGCCCTTTGCTGAGAAACCAGGTTCCTGTCCACCAGCTCTACCAGTACAGATCTGTACCCAGTCCTGTTTCTCTGACTCACATTGTTCAGGAATTGGCAAGTGTTGCCCTACCAACTGTGGAGGGTTTGTTTGTTCCAAACCTGTGACCATGAGACAGACAAATGTAGCAGGTACAAGAAATCTTGCAAAATGATTAAGACTAAGATTAAATTGTGTGTTCCAGTCATTAGGATTTAATTCCATATCTTACATTCAGAGAAACCAGGTTCCTGCCCAGCTGTACCAAAAGGAAGATGGGTGTGTTCACCAACCTGCAGTGTTGACACTGATTGCAAAGGAACATTGAAGTGCTGCAAGAATCGTTGTGGTGCTCTAGCCTGTCAGAAACCAGATGTGGAGGTGATTGAGTCTTTGGATATCCCAGTTTCAATGCCAGAAGATCCTTACAACGTACCCAGAAATCCTTATGATGTAAACAGAAATCCTTATAATGTTCCCAGGAATCCTTATAATGTTCCCAGGAATCCTTATGGTTATCTCAATAATCCAAATTCCTATCCCTACTATTTTTATAACAATTAGAAATGATAAGAAGGATGTGAAATGTTTGCACGAAAATGTAGTTCTTATTTACTTAGCCTCAGGGATTACTATCTGAATACTTGACATACTTTTAATTGTCACAATGTTTATAACACCAGCATTTTCAAGCATTGAACTCACTAACAGTAACACTGAAGTAAAAGTAAATAACAATATTTTTTACACAATATTTATGAACATTTTAGCGATAAATATTTAACTATAAATTGATTAACTAATTTTAAATGAATAGAGCTAAATATATTTTTTAACAAGACAATCAAAATTTAATTTTTTATCACTGCTACAACGATCATTTTACGCGTGTGTTCAGAAGGTTCAAACGAGGTATGACGTTGTCCCACTAATTTCTCAATTTTTTTAAATGACTTATTCTAGGAAATCATTTTATTAATAAACGGCCTTACATAATAGATTACTTCATTCACCTACTGACCTATTTTGCATAGAACCTTGAATAACTGCATACACTCACGAGGTCTAACTAGAAAAGGTTAATGACATGACAGACGTGAAAAAAGAAATACTTAAAAAATCCCATGAATATTCTAATTGTTGACCATTTAAAGTATTCTTTAAATAAATGTTTAAATACTAGCAAGTTGTTATGGTACAAAAAAAAATGCTGCTTACAAAATTTTAAGAAATTTACACTACGTAATACGAAAATTGACGTATTTACACTTATTGCATCTCAAATTACCTGTGCGTCACTTACAATCAAATTTTCATAACACTCGTTACTTAATAATCCCGTTCCTAGCAACGATCTTTTCATAAAGATAATTTGCGTCAACTACCAAATGATACTGTAACCTGTGGACAGTATGAATAAGACAAATTCATATATGTCACTGAAATACCCAACAGCTTTATTCGAGGAATACTTGATTCATAATGCAAAAACATACTGATAATAGTAATCAAGATATTCATAAACTGAAATTATGTCGGGGAATGTCAAGAAGCTGTTGAATCAGCCGGTTACACGGTTTCCTATATGTTTTACGACAAGTTCCTTTCGCTGACCGCAAGGTAGAGGTGGAAACGAGAGAGATAAGAATACGGAGATTTGTCAAGAGATAAAGAGAGAAAGGAAATAACAAAGAAAGATTTAAGAAGCTAGACTCTTATCGTGCAAGGATTAAGTGTGGTTCATCTTCCAACCTGGTGATTTCAAAGAAAGCAGAATACTGTGAAAAGGGATCCACAGAAAATGGAAATGCGCAGTATGTGTTTTTGTGAAAACTGGTTTCCTCACGCAATATATAAGGTGTTTCAAATGAAGAAAAGATTCAAATTAAAAAAACAAAGAAATTGATAAAGAACTTGGTCCTTTAATGGGAATAATGTGAAAAAGTGAACTCTTTGCTAGAACATCGTACATCGTACAATTACGTTGCGACACCCTGTATATTCATAAGAAAAAAATTATTTCGTTTTCTCGAATACTGTGAATAATGATTTGTCTCCTGTGTACCATAGAAAAAGGAACGATTCTGATATTTGTGGGCTGCTTGCTAATTGCCGCAACCGTCGCTCAACTGTCTCGTAAGTTAATTAATCATTTAAATGCGTAATTGATTCCAGAGAAACGTGTGACGTTTTATGTGAAACTAATAGATTTACTGTTCGGTATTTAATAAATCATTTCAAATAACTCTTAAATACCCCTTTATCGTGGCTAAATGAGATTAACATATAGTTTTCAACTTTGACGAGAATCTTTGAATAAAATTTTGTACGTAAAATATTTTACCTTGAAAAGTTCTATCCGGATGCAGTATAAGGTAAGTTGATGCCACACAAAGTCAAGGACACGACCTTTTATGATGCACTCCATATTTACAATTATACATATTATCATGCGATCTATCGTTCAATTTCATAATCTGTTATGTCCGATACGTCATGCGTGATGTGACTTATTGAGTACTGAAATTTACTAGAACGAAATTATATTTTTTTTACATTTTTATAAAATTATAAATAAAGTGATTTATTGATTTTTTTAGATAAAGAAGGACATTGTCCATTGAGAAACAGTGTATCAAAATGTACTCCTAGATGTGTTTCGGATTTTCAGTGCTCTTTTAATGAAAAATGTTGTCCAAATAAGTGTGGAAGTAATTCGTGTGTGCAGTCGAGTCCCGTCAATACCGGCAGTGGATATAAAGGATCATCAAATGGTAAAAAAATTCAAATAACTTTATAGAATTTTTATTGTGCACATAATTAAAAAAACTGAACACGTTACATCTTTCAGATAATGTTTATTGTGCGGGTGTGAAATGTGGTCCATACGAAAAATGTCGATTCGATCGTACAACGAAACGCGAAAAATGCATGCGCACATAAAGGAGTTTTTCAAATGCAAAAATTTTATTCCTGTGTAAAATAAACGATGATTTTAACTACTTGTTTTTATACACTCCTTAACTCTAATAAAGTTAATTCCCAATCGATCATTTGAAATGTTTTAAATTTGAAAAAAAGTCGAATTGCGATTAGTAGCGATAACAACCTGTTGAAAACGAGTCGACAATCGATATGGAGATTTAAATCGATATTTCTCGATAGCCTCCTTTATTGTTACACGAGAAGTGCAATCGGAATATAAAATTTACGTTTATTATTAGTATATACTTCTAAAGCGAATACGAAGTGACACAAAAGTGAAATCACTTAGTTTTGGAAATTCCAGGACAAAATGGCATTTGACCAGTCTTGATTCTCGTAGTAAAATATACATTCTCTTTATTTTTTTTAATCAAGTAGAGGTACGACTTATGCCGGTATTACAATGGCAGTAGAGTTTTTAGTAAACCGGTTGAAAGCCCTTGTGGTTCTTCTCCTGGGAGTATTTAGGCGAGCTGTGTGTTGTCTTCGACGACGACGAAGATCATCCTGTGATTCTATTCCCCTGTCAGCAGTCGGTGTAGTGCCTAACAATTCAAACAATGCAACTCAACCAGTAAGTTTCAAGTATTATGTTCTTATTTCTAATTCAGTACTTTACAATGATTTTAAGATTATGTAAATCCTGTTGTACCATTGGCTCCGATAATAGTAATCACTGAAGATGCTTGCTCAAGGAATTAGAGCAGTGGGATCAGTGGGAGGAAAATCCTGTAGTGGTCGTGCCAGACAGACCAGTTAACACGATACAAGCTAAGATCGAACAATACAGGCAGCAAGCATCTAAACCACCAGAGCTCACAGAAGAGCAACAATCAAATTTTTTTGAGGTAATTGCTTTTATTAACAGAGAAAATATACACATGTATTTGAATCTTTGTGTTTGCCATAGGATATGACACCAAAGATTACCGCACAGAAAAAGGTTCTAGTTAAAGATAAGGCATCAGAGAATACATCTTGGAATTCTTCAAAGTTTGCAGTTGTTCATGATCCCATACCATCTGTAAGTTTACATTTTGCACATAATTCTATTTTTGGAGTAAGCGAACAAGTTTGGAATGTTACATTTATTTAGAATGAATTGGGAGAATGGGAAGACAATGCTGTTGGATGGGAAGAAGAAACAACTAAAGAATTTGGAGACCCTACAAAGACATTAAGGGAGCAGAAACGAAGAGAAAGAGAACAACGGTTGTACGAACAGCAACAGAAGAGAAACGATCGTAATGCAAGACCTCAACCATTAGGCGCGAAACTAAACTATTGATAAAAAAAGAACTTTATCGAAAGTAACAAATTTCCATCTAATGGCGTCCGTGCACAAATGGAACGTCGATTAAACTTGAGAAAATCAAAGGAGATCATCGTTTACATTAAGAGTAATTTATTATGAGTTTCTGTAAAATTATCGGGTCGTATTATGTATAGAAACACATATCGCGGAGATACTTTACTTAGAGGGTTAAAATTTATATTTTAATATGTATTTTACGTATGTAACATGTATTACATTTATAACGTGTGAAAACATTCCATGTAAATAATCTTGTAATACCACATAAAATCCTTGTTTCTTTCACATTTAAATCGGATTACTATTGATTCAATGAAAATTTTCAATTTCAATTTTAATTATATTGATAACAAAAGCTCCGGTATCCGTGTGCCTTTATTTGATACTTCGTGTCCGTGTAGTTTTTGTACCTACTAATTTTTCAGAGGCTAACTATAATAAAGGCAAATAATTAATCCTCAAATTTATCAATTCAATCGTGTAATTACTTTCTTATTATGAAATCAAAAGTATGTCCATTGAATTTGTAACGATATAAAATAAATCATATTACTAAATGTAGTGTAACTGAAAAATTTTGTAAGAACCTTAGGTAAATTGCAATTATGACTCAAATTCTCGATACGCAGATTTGCTTTTGAAATGCCGCTGGTATAGAGAACGTAACAGGAAGTAGCCATTACGCAGGGCAAAGGAAACGATAAACGAACATTTCTTTGACACACGTAACTCATTCCACTCATATGTCGATAAAATGTACATGACCGAACTAATGTTTCCCTATTTACAACCCGATAAGGCTGAAATGGAACAGATAAGGACGGGTGAAAACCGCAGTATACAGCTACATATATCGTTCCTTTGCACAGCCGTTCATTTAAAACTTACATTTATCGAATACTTGGAATTTTTTTAAATCAGTTCTCTAACAATACGTTGACCACATCGAACGACAATTACTTATCAAATTATATTGGTAAGTAAAAATAGATAGAAACACGTTTAAACAATGTTTCAATACAAAATACTCCAATTGGAAAAAAAAATATGACAAATAATTTTGTAACGACTAATAACGAAATGAAAACTTTCTCTATAACATAATAAGCATATTTTATGTTGGTGGACGTACGAGTGATGAGGCACGTGAGAATATTTAGTCCACCTTACCGTGCAATCAATGAAAAATTAGAACTACATATATTTGCTGTGGCATCGATCAAAAAGTAACCTGAACGAATGCTTATCCATTTCAAAATGCGTCACGCGCGCGCTACATTGTCGCACGTGAGCATGTGTGTACGTGTTCACACTAAATGAAAATAATGTAACCCGTTGCATCAATGCATATTGTGACGTGCGCGCCTTATAACTGCGCTTCCGTTATTGCGAGCATAGCTAACTTCAGACGGTCTGTGGTGTACGTGTATACGAGAAATGATGGAGAAGCTCGTTTGACGGGGAGCCGCTTCACGGAAACTTCGGTGATCCGTTTTCAGGATTATCGAAAGCGATCCCGCGAAAGTCCCTTTGCTTAATTCGTTTTTCTACCACGGTATTGTCTCTCGATGATCGCGTTCGTAATCGAGAAACGCGCGATTATCCGATACTCCTCACCTTCATCCTTAACAACATATGTAAATTCGAAATGTCAACATTGGAAGGTGAGCTGTCTGTCGGATCTACATGCGATAATAATGCATATTGCTGGTCACTCTTAGCGTACATTTTTGTTCACGTTCATGCCAAACGGTGTCCATTAACAGCGCTCGCGGCTCACGTTCCCCTTGTGAAACGTTTTCAAACGAGTTATATAGCAGGACGGATGGAATTCTCGTTACAAGTAACCATGAGCGTATAAACACGTTACAAAAAAAAAAAAAAAAAAAAAAAAACAAACTGCGTTGTGCGCGTTTAATTTTTATTCGTCTGTTAATCGGATACATAAATTTCCCCCCCAGACGACGATAAGTGAGAAATATCGTTTTATATTATTCCCGTTCGAAAAAATACGGCACTCTTCGATCATATGGTACGGGTTGATTAATACGGTTGCTCTTGACGATACAGATAAAAGCGATTGAGTATTCAACGACAACGGATTTGTCGAACCCAGTCGATATCCACACGTTGGTGGTTTATTTTTATCCGTAAAAATGCGACCGTGAAGATACTAAGTTGTGTACTCGAGAAACGCGCGGGACCAAATAGACAATTGTGATTGAAGGTTTCGCACGACGACACGGGGTTACGGCATTTCTTCAGGATTACTTCTTTCAGAGAGAAGAACACATTCTTATCTGAACGCAATGCGGTGCCCGATAACAGAACTTTGTAATGGAACCTGCTGCTTATGAATCACTTGTGATACCAATAAATACTGGGATAATGTAAGAAAGATCAAGTGTATGTGATACATAGTTGTCTATTTTTATTGTAAATTACAACAAAATACTGTTACAATGGGTTCCATTGCCCTGGAAGAGTTTGAACTCATGAAGGACTCTAAATATAGAGTGTAAGTAAAACACATTGCTTACTTGAGTGTTTATATTTTATTCTATCATGTTGTGATATGTCATGAATATGTAAGATTGAATTTGGATTTTATTTTATATAGCTATGTATCTGCCGTTGACAAAGCTCTGAAGAGCTTTGAATATACCAGTGAATGGGCAGATTTAATCTCTGCACTTGGAAAATTAAATAAGGTATTATTAAGCCATATGAAATTTCCAGTTATTCCTAGGAGAATAAAAATATCTAAAAGATTAGCACAATGTATGCATCCTGCTTTGCCATCCGGTGTTCACTTGAAAGCTTTAGAAACCTATGACATTATTTTCAAGTGTATGGGTACTAATAGACTGAGTCATGAACTGTTTATATATAGTGCTGGTAAGGTCAAATAATATTGTGAGACAAAATGATTTTTTTAAAGAGATCAAGTATATATATATCAATTAACATAAATTCTTTTGTAGGTCTATTTCCATTGTTGGGTCATGCTGCTATGAATGTAAGACCATCCTTATTAACAGTATATGAAACTCATTTTGTACCTCTTGGAGAGAGATTAAGGCCTGGTTTGAGTGGATTTTTAAGTGGTGTTTTACTTGGTTTAGAAGATGGTTCTGACCACTTTGATAGGTATTTTCAATAAAACATATGCATTACAGAAAGAATCTCAAGCTTTTTTTTTAAACAACAAATTTTTTTTTAGAACCAATTCCTTGCTTGAAAAAGTATGTGAAGGAGTAGGTCCAGAACACTTCTATGCATGTTTATGGGATTGTTTAGCTTCAAATTCTGGAATTCGATTGCCTGCTATATCTTTTGTGTTAGTACATTTCAACAAGAAACTGCCAATGGAAGAACAAAAGTATATTATGGGCACAGACACTAATATTATGGTAATAGTTCTATAAAATAAAGTAGAATACTACTTTTATTTGATTGATTGTTCATTAAAATCATATATTAATTAGGTTACTGCTCTTTGTTCTGGAGTACAAGACAGTTCTGTGTTAGTACAAAGGAGTGCATTGGATTTGCTGCTAGTCGGATTTCCTGTACATAATAGTCAATTAACACATGAACACATGGTATCACTAGTCACAGCTGCTCTTGTCACTATACTAAGGAGAGACATGAGTTTGAATAGGTAAAATAAACATACCAAAAGCAGTATAGAAAAAATGTATTTCTTTAACCGAATATTGTATACAATTCAATTTATATGTGCATCATAGGCGATTGTTTGCTTGGCTTTTGGGTACTGAAGTAAGCACATCTATTTTAAAGAGAAAAGCGGATACTACAGTCTCGGAAAGCACGGAACATGCACCTACTTATTTTGATATGTACTCGAAGGAAATGTTAGTCGAAGCAATAAAATCACTATTGAAAACCGTGTGCGACGAAAGTCCGCAAGATTTGAAACCGTACAGAATATTGGTTTCTTTATTAGAGAAAGCAGATATTGGTCCAGTAATTTTGGATGACATTTTATTTGAAGTTTTTAGGTAAAACATAAAGATTCGATATAATACACTAAGTTTTAAGGTCATAAAAATATGAATTTTTTTTATCACAGGACATTTTATAACGCTTGTGGGCAATCAAACAGAGTACCAAAAACGAACGAAGTAGTAAAATCAGCAAACCTGTTGTTTTCAACCTTGGAACCGTCTTACGTTTGGATACATTGCGGCAATCTGTTCGAGAATGCTTGTCAAATCAGAGCAAAGAATAAAAATGAGATGAAAGACGTTGCAGTGCGGTCCGTTGGTAGTGGAATGCCAAATTTCATGGAAGTGTGTATATTGACGGAATTTCTACTCGAGACTGTGTCATTGGATGCATTTATAGATACTCCTTCAGAGCATCTACCCGGCTTGTTCTACGAGATTGTCAGCAAACTCTTGCATCACAACGATCTTTTATCTCCTATGGAGATTTCAAGAAGTCTTAGATTGGGCGCGAAAATTTTATCGAAAGTACAACCAACGGTGGTTTCGACTCACACGGAGAAGAACGAATTAGAAACGAAATTAGATACAACTACGAGTGCAAGTACTGCCACTGCACTCAATGAAAATTCCTTAAGTGCGATTCCATTGGAAAAAAGTCAATCCGACAGTAAATTAAATAAACCAGATACTTCTAGCAGTTCGTTTTCCGAGAAAAGTCCCAGTCCCAGAAGAAGAGCAAATTCAGGAGGTGCCACCAAGAGATCTGACAAAAAATCAAAAAAGAAATCCAGCAAAAGTACTTCGAAATTGAGCGACTCTACGCAAGAGCAAGGTAGTGGAATTTCAGTGGTAGTGAGTCAAGAATCGAAGGCTTTACCAAGGAATAAAAGTATGGATGATATAAAGAGCGGATACATAGAAACGAGTACCGTTAGTTCTCCATCCAAGGATCAATTGATTACGTTGAAACAGTCGAACAGAAGTAGCCCTATGGGCTCCACAGGATCCTTGGGTAGAGGACCGTCTCCGGCGTTTCAGGCGCAACATTCAATGTTGGAGAAATGTCTACGACAGTACGAGATTTTCTATGTTAAACTAATTAGTAATAGAGTGCTGAGTAAGGAAAGAACGGTTCAGGACATGTTCGATAATTTGATGAT